GTCCTCTTTCCCTCCTGGGTGCTCCTTCCTTCTCCTGGCCCAGACAATGCCCAAAGACAGCCCCTAAATTCCTGGGCTCTCCTAAAGGGTACCTACCAGGATGTGATCTCACCAGCCCCTGGGCTCTTTCCTCCCTCAGATCCCTGGAACTGTGCTGGCGGGTAGTGAAACCATGCCTGTGAGGAGGGGGCCCCACAAGGGGATCTATACCCACACTCCAGGAGCCTGAGGCTACGAGCTTTATCTTCCCCCTTCCCAGACGTCTGGCAGACCTCCCTCAGGCTTCACCAGGGTCTGGTTTGCTCTTCCTCACTCCCCTGGGGAAACAGCTGATTCAGTTACCAGAATTGAGGTCACTGGCAATGGCTGAAGTAGAGATGCAGGTGGAACTGGTTCAGACTGGGGGAATCACCCAGTTGAGTCTTCACTAAAAGCCCCAGCCCAACACTACCTCTCCTGGGAGGCTCCATCTCTGCCCGGTTTCAGTCAAGACCTTGGATGCCAGTATCCAGGCACCATAGCCACAGCTGTGTCCCTCAGGCAGGTGGGCTCTGCCAGTCTTTGTGCCCAAAGGGTTTAAGTTTGGGTTGTTACTGTACTGGAGGGATGAAGGAAGCAGGCACCCCTGCTGTTGTCCTAAAAGATTAGGATGATGGATACCATAAGGCGATGCAGGGAGCTAACAATTCCCATGTGGCTGGCAGGAGAGCCTTGAACAGTGCCTGGCACACAGAAGGTGCTCCAGTAAATATTTGTTTAATGAATGAATGAATGAATGTCTAGAACACTAATCTCTCTCCGTCCACTTCCCGCCTGGCTTCTGGAACCTCTGTATGGGTGTTTGGCATCTGTTCCCAGTTCTTCTCTCAGGCTTCAGATTGCTTTGCTTAATATATGGCAGGCTTGCAAGTAAGGCTGGGCATGTACAAGCCCTCGAGTAGGTTGTTTATCTTCCCCAGCCAGCTCTCCATTCACGAGTCCAGTTTTCCCTGCCACAAACAAACATGAGAGAGTTCCTGCAGGCCTGATTCTCTCTTAGGACAAGCCTTTAGAGATACTTTAAGCTATCTACTACCAGTCCAACTCCCCATCCACCATCCCAGGGATGGGAGAGGCACTACCCACCACAGAGGAGACCGGGGAGTCAGATGGTGATGGTGATGCGGTTCCATGAAGCACTGGTTGGGACAGAAAATCTACCCAGACTTTACAGGGTACAAAGCATTGCCTGTGTTGATTTCAGTTTTGGGTGACATCCAGGGGACCCAGTGTCAGGGAAACTATTGTTGAGCAACAGCAAAGAGCAGGAATTGGTGCTGGGCAGGAAAGTAGGCCTAATCAGAGAAGGCCAGTGAGTCACCAGATGGGCCCTAAGTATTTGAGTTCCCTCAGCTGGGAGAAGAAAAGCAAATGCCTCCCACCGCCTTCTAGTCATCAATCCACCAGCTGTCACCCTTGAGATTGAAGGCCCTTGTTTTTACCACTCCTGAGTTTCTAATGAAAGGACCTCGAGGTGTTCAGCAAACAGGGGAGGGATCAACTCTCCCCTCCCTGCATTAACCAACAGTTTCCCCATTCTTCCCTCTCCTGATGAATTAACAGGGGAAAGAACTCCGGCACTCGAGCCATCACACACAAAGGATGGTAGGTCAGCAGAGGTGCACCCTGCAGGGACAGTGGAGCCTTCCTTTGGGGGGAATTTCCAAGAAATATGGCAGCAGCCCCCACTCAGACTGAGTTTCAATTCAGGCCCATTCTTTCACTTATTCATTCATTCATTTCTTCAACAGATATTTACTAAGCACCCCAGTGTAATGCACGAAGTATACAAAGCTGAACAAGAGAGCCAGACTTCTCTCCATGTTGGGTTTACTGTGTAGTGGGAGAGATAGATGAAAAGCAAGAAATTACAACACAAGGTACACACAATGCTGCAGGAGCCCAGAAGAGGGTGCCCGGGCCTATGTTCAGTCAGACCAGAGAAAGGCCATCTGAGGTGGAGGCTGGACTTGACACCTCGGCAGGCTCAGCCACCGCAAAATCCATGCCTTTAAGCCAAGTCTTATAGACTTCCCAGGTGAGCGGTCAGCAATCAGAAGACCTCCAGCTAGTGCCCAGGGCATGGTGATGGCTCTCAAGAGAAAGTCCTGCCGCATACCGTGGGTGCTCACTGAATTTTGCGTGAATGAGTGAACGAATGGATGAATGACCAAGAACAGGATATTATAATCTATTCCCGACTCAGAGTGTCCAAGCTGTGCAGTGCTGACCGGAAACCTGCCCTCTTGCCCTCCAGATGTTCCTCGGCCAAGATCAAAACCGCAGTGTTCGGGCTGTTCCCCGTGCTCTCTTGGCTCCCCAAGTACAAGATCAAAGATTACATCATCCCTGACCTTCTTGGCGGCATCAGCGGTGGATCCATCCAGGTCCCACAAGGTGAGGGGATCCCCTCAGCCAAGCCTATTTCTCTCCCCACCCCACCCTCTGTGACCCCATAACCCAAACATGCCCCTGGATGTTCACTGTCTTGGTCTCCTGCAGGCATGGCATTTGCTCTGCTGGCCAACCTTCCTGCTGTCAATGGCCTCTACTCCTCCTTCTTCCCCCTCCTGACCTACTTCTTCCTGGGGGGTATCCACCAGATGGTGCCAGGTAAGCCCTCTCCCCTCTCAGCAGGCAGCTGACCTGGACCACAAGGATGGGTGGTGGGTGGCGAAGGGGGTTGGGGTGATTTCCCATCTGCATTCTCCTCTAGTTTGTGCTGCTTGGTCCTGGAGGGACCATCACTGTGCGTGTCAGTCCCAGGTCTTCTGTGACCTTGGAGAAGCCACTTAGCTTCCGTGAGCTCAGTTAGCATGACTTGTTGGGTCTCCCTCCCTGGAATGTGGGGAAGACTTGGTGGAACAAGATATGCCATAAAGTGCTGAACAGATGTGGGGAATTACCATCTAACTCCCAGACTGGTCCCAGCAGACCACTTCAGGGACATATGGAGTTCTCCGGTGCTAAGTGAGATGGAGGAAAAGGGCCTGACCACAAGGCCTGTTTCTGGTGCAGGCTCTGCTTATATTTCCAAGCCCATTTCCTCATGTGTCCAATAAAATAATATTAACAGTTGGGGTGAAAGCACACTGAAGAGTTGTAGATTATGGTTAGATGTGAGCGGTTACTGTTATGCTGGAGAGGAGCCTTGGAGGCATGGGCCTCCATCCCCATGGGGGTCGGGAAGCGTTCCTGGGCCCCTTTCTGGTTTCCACGGGTGTGGTCCAAACCTCTGACTTTTGCTGGCTGGGTGGGGCACCACAGGTACATTTGCCGTTATCAGCATCCTGGTGGGTAACATCTGTCTGCAGCTGGCCCCAGAGTCGAAATTCCGGGTCTTCAACAATGCCACCAATGAGACCCATGTGGACACAGTGGCCATGGAGGCCGATAGGCTGCACGTGTCGGCAACGCTAGCCTGCCTGACTGCCATCATCCAGGTGAGGGGGGCGGCCTCCATCTCTGCCGGGGCCCCACCTCAGGAAGGCACCAGCCCACCCTGCCCCTGCCTCAGAGTCCCAGTTTTGACATTAAAGTTGACTTAGGGCTCTACGTCCTCCCTCTTCCCCACTTCGAGGCTACAAATGACCTTGAAAATTCAAAGCATCTCTCCTTACCTGTCTCCAGCAGGTGTATAAGACCAGCATCTACACCTAATAAAACTGTCCTGAGCTAATGACGGTCTAAAGGACTTCTGGCCTCTCTCCACTACCCTCTCCAGTGCCCAGCTCTCTGCCAGCACAGTCTTCCAGTTTCTCTAACATCACTTATCCCCCTCCTTGGAGCTGCTTGTGCTCCAAGCCACAGCATCACCTGCATGACATAAATTGCATTTCCACCACATGCAAAGGACTCTGCTAGGTTTTAGGAAGGCAAACGCAGCAGCACAGAGTGTAAGAGCAGGAAGCAACCTTGGAGGTTTCATTCATTGATTCATTCGGTTAATGTTTTTTGGTTGTTTCACTGTCCCAGGAACTGGGCTAGGCTCTGGGGATCAAAGATAAGTAAGAAAGAGGCCCAGTTCTCAAGGAGCTCACAGCCCAGCAGAGGAAGTAGCCATATCAACAGATGGATGTATAGGCAATGGGGTCAGCAACATGATGGGGCTATGTACCAATAGCTTCAGGAACGCCAAAGAGAAAGTCAGGGAAGGCCTCTCCTCAAAAAGAGGAGGTGACATCTGAGCTCAGTCTAAAAGGATGAGTAGAAGTTGACCAGTAACCAAATGAACAAGGCATGGAAGGGACAGTCCAGGCAGGGGGAATAGCACCCCCAAGGCACTGAGGCCTAGGAGAGTGTGAACTGACCAGGGAATGGCAAGACAAGGAGTTTGGTATGGCCAGAGGGAGGGGGCCTTTGGGGAATGGACCAGAGAAGAGGCTAGACAGGTAGGCAGGGGCCAGACAATGAAGTCTGAAGTCCGTCCCCTAAGCAGTGGCTTTGGGTCTGATTGGCAGTTGGTTTGGACCACTCAGACTATGGAGAAGATGACGGACGGGAGGTAGATGAGAATCAAGGCAGGGGACCTGTTGGGAGACTATGCAGAGGTCCAGGCAAGAGTGACAAGGGCCTAGACCAGGGTGGCAGCCAAGGAGATGAGCGGGCAGAGACTTGTGGAACATTTTGCCAGGAACAAAATGAATGGGACTTGGTGATAGATTGGAGATGGGGAGGCGAGGGATGATGGCTCCCAAGTTTTTGGTTGGCCAGCTGGGTGGGCAGGGGTGTCAATTACTGAGAGAGGAAACACTGGTGAGTACCAGGTTCATTTTACAGACGAGGAAACTGGAGCCAATGAGGTGAAGTGTCAGAGGCTAAAGGTCTGCTGGCAGGAGAGGGCAAGACAAGGTCACGATGGACTCACTTCCCTAGAGCTGCTGCCATCCCAGGGCTGCACGGAACTCCAGCCCTGGGTTTGAGCCAGGCAGGTATGGGAGCTGCTGACCCATCTTGGTCTCCCCCCACCACCCCTCTCCTCTCAGATGGGCCTGGGCTTCGTGCAGTTCGGTTTTGTGGCCATCTACCTCTCTGAGTCCTTCATCCGGGGCTTCATGACAGCTGCTGGCCTGCAGATCCTGATCTCCGTGCTCAAGTACATCTTTGGACTGACCATCCCCTCCTACACAGGCCCAGGGTCCATCGTCTTTGTGAGTCTAGGAACGCGCCCCTGTGAATAGAGCAGACACATGAGCCAAGTTCACTGTCTTAAGAAGTTCAGAGAGGATTCCAAGAAGTTCCCGCTTTGGGAGGGAGTGTCAAACACGTGACCTTGAGGGCTTGCTGAGGTTCTCTGTGGTTAAACCCTGCAGAAAAGCAGAGGTACACTCTCCATCAGTTCCCCGTTCCAGTGCCTCAACCCCTCCCTTCCTGGGAAGTCCTTCCTTATGTCTAATCTCCATCCCTCCTCCTTCAGCTTGAACTCTTTCTAGAGAAAGAGGAAGGGAATCTGCATTCCCATCCCAGTATGAGCTCCAGACATGCCCTTTGGGAGAGGGTGGTAGAAAGTGGAACCCTGAGCAGGATCTGGATTCTGCTTTGGTGAGAGCTGATGACATCCCTTCATTGGCTCAGATGCCGGGTGGGAGTGGTATGGGAGGAAGGCGTGGGAGCCCATGAGCATGATGCTCTCTCCCACAGACCTTCATTGACATTTGCAAAAACCTCCCCCACACCAACATCGCCTCGCTCCTCTTCGCCCTCATCAGCAGCGTGTTCCTGGTGCTGGTGAAGGAGCTCAACACCCGCTTCATGCACAAGATCCGCTTCCCCATCCCTACAGAAATGATCGTGGTAAAGACCTTGCCCAGGGGTGGAGGGCTGGGGCCCAGGCAAGAGAAGCTGTGAAAAAAGGCATCCAGCTCCAGTCAGAGCCAGGGGAGGCCCTCTACCCACCCGGCCCCCGGCCCACTCGCCCACTGTGAGCCAGTAGGACAGAAGTCAGGGGTGAATCTACTCCTTCCGCCTGTATATGGCTCCCACTCTCCCTGATCCTCAGGTTGCCCCCCCTCCAGGAGGCAGGGGAGTGGGATCTGGGGTCCCCAAAGAAAAGGGAAGGCTTGAGAGGGACCCCTGCCCTGGCCCCAACTTAGAGCCAATCCCAATTCTCCACTTTGGGGTTTGCAGGTAGTGGTGGCAACAGCTATCTCTGGGGGCTGCAAGATGCCCAAAAAGTATCACATGCAGATCGTGGGAGAGATCCAACGAGGGTGAGTCCAGGTGGCTGGGAAGCCTGACCCCACCCCCACTGCACCGCCCCCAGGTTCAGAGTCAGAGATGAGAAGAACTCTATGAAAGTACATTATAAACTCTGTGACACTGACCAGCTATGAATTATTACTATTACTTATTACGGAGAAGAGCCGCACAATGCTGGCTGTTTCCTGATGGTGAGTCATGAAACACTCCCCGCGAAAGTCTCAATTGATGGATGCTGTTAAAGCAAAGCCGCTCTGATCAGCCCTTCTCTGGTTCTTTGCCTTGCTCTAGTACATTGGCTCTTTTATCCACGTGGAAAGGAAGCCGTTAGGACTAACAAAATTCACTGAGCGTCTACTCTGTGCCAGGCACCACCCTGGGCCCTGGGAGGGGAGGGGAGGTGCTTATGCTGCAGAGTTGGAGCAGGCAATGGAGAAAAGGCCCACAGCACTGGGGGCTGCGGATATGCGGACGAGTGCGCGTAAAGAGTCCAGAATCTGGATGTGAACAAGTAAGGCCCTACCGCTTACTAGCTCTGTGACCTCAGGCAAGTTATGTTCTCTAAGCCTCGGATTTTTGCTTTGTCAAGGGGAGTGACGGTAGCAGCCCTGCAGCGTGGTACTGAGGATTCAAACTGGAGGGGATAATTCATGTAAAGGCCCCGGCACAGCGTGGGGCCCAGCCGGTCCCTGTGGGTTGTTGAAGATCGCGGTGCCCTCCCTCTCCTCACACCCTTGGGCCCTGCCTCCTTTCTGGTTCCTTGGCAGGTTCCCCACTCCCGTGTTGCCTGTGGTTTCACAGTGGAAGGACATGATTGGCACAGCCTTCTCCCTGGCCATCGTGGGCTACGTCATCAACTTGGCTGTGGGCCGGACCCTGGCCAGCAAGCACGGCTATGACGTGGATTCTAACCAGGTAGGTCCGGCCACCCCCAGCAGGGCTGAGCAGGACGGGCCAGGGCCCACAGAGGCCTGGCAAGAGATGTTCTGGGGCTCTGGGCTTAGGTGAGGAAGGCTGCCTGCCAGTGGGGACGGGGGGACTCTAACACCAAGAGGCTGACTTCTACTTGATTGGGAGTATGTGGCTTTATAGCGGTAGGGCCACTCTCAAGTTCAAGATCCAGCCTGCAAGGACAACGGTGTTTGGTCTGTACCCTGCACCCCAGCCCCAGCTTCCAATCCTGTGCCCACAGGAGATGATCGCCCTGGGCTGCAGCAACTTCTTCGGCTCCTTCTTTAAAATCCATGTCATTTGCTGTGCTCTCTCTGTCACTCTGGCTGTGGATGGAGCTGGAGGAAAATCCCAGGTGAGCGCTGGACCAGGAGAGTGTGGGAGGGATGGGGCAGTAGCAGAACAAGTGCCCCGGAGAAGCCAGGCCACCTGCTTCTCCAACCTTGCTCTCCCCTCCTTAGCCTCCAGTCCACCAAAGGCATCTCTTGGAAACAAAACAAGAGCGAGAATTTCACACCTATGCCCTGTTTCCAAACTCTTTCTCTGAATAGATGGCAAGCCTGTGCGTCTCCCTGGTGGTGATGATCACGATGCTGGTCCTGGGGTCCTATCTCTACCCTCTCCCCAAGGTAAGAGCACAGCACGAGAGCAGAGGCCAGCGAGAGACTCCAGTAGGAGTAGGCCCTAAGGGCTGTGTGGCACTTTACAGATTACAAAGTGCCATCATTGTCACACTTTGTCCTAGTCACAACCTGTAAAGTAGTAATGCAGGTTTTACTCTCCCCATTGTACAGGTGAGGGAAACTGAGGCTGAGAGGGTCTAGGTGATCTGCTTGTGGTGACAAGGCTCACAAGTGCAGGGCTGGGCACAAACTCCAGCCTTCTGACCTCAGAGTCCACACCCAAGTCAGTGTTTACAAGTCGGTATGGGCGCCTGGCCAGGAGGGCTCTAGGCACGGACCGTGTGGGGATGAGGGAAAAGAGGATGGGCAAAGATGGGGCCAGGGGCCCTATGACTCTAGCACCCGCACTCCAACCCTAAGATCGAATGCGAAGATTTGGGGTCTCTGCCAGTACAGATGTTCTAGAACTGCAACTCTGTCCTGCCAGGTTTCAGGGTCAGGTGTTTGCAGGAAGGGCAGGAAAAAGGGGACACCCCAGGTGACAAGGAACAATGTCCTGCTTCCCCAGGCTGTGCTAGGAGCCCTGATTGCCGTCAACCTCAAGAATTCCCTCAAGCAACTCGCCGACCCCTACTACCTGTGGAGGAAGAGCAAGCTGGACTGTGTAGGTATTGGGCGGCCTCTGGGCACCCGTTGCGCCCTTGCCGCCTCCTCCAACCCCACAGCCCTGTCAGTTCTTCTGTCAGTGATCCCTTTGGTCGGCTGCTTGCTGATTAGCATAACCGAGTGCTAACAGCTCAGGTTTTGGAGTGAGACATCTTATGTTCAAATCCTAACTCAGCTGTTCACTGGCTTTATGACCAATGGCGAGTCCCTTAACCTCTCTGAGTCCTGGCTTTCTCATCTGTGAAATGGGTATCTTATACTCTCTACCCCCCACCTCAGGATGCTTATGAAAGGAGATAATACAAGTAAGGAGCACATTGTCAAATTGTATCTTGTGTTCAATAAAATTTAGCTATTATTATTTTTATGATTTATAGTTCCAAAGAAAGCTAAATGACATCATTTTAAAAAAACAAAAAAACCTAGAACATAAAGCCAGCAGACCAGGATCTTAAGCAGATTACCAGACTTCTCTGGAGTTCTGTTTCCTCATCTGTAATGCGGGTGATGGTCATGGCTACGTCACGCACTGGCTCTGAGGATTAAATGAGATCATAATGGGAAAGCACCATGTAACCATAAAACAATCAGCAAACATGAATTATTGTTTTGATTAGTCACATTCCCAATGCATCTTCCACCGGGCAGGTGAAATGAGGCTACCATATACTGACGACACTGCCTCATCCCCACTTAAGCCCCACCATAAGCTGTGAGAAAGGATTTACTAACCTCCTTTCAAGATGATGAAACCAAGCCTCAGAGAGGTTTAGTAACACATCAAAGGCCACAGAAGTAGTAAGTGGTAGAGTCAGGACTGGAACCCCAAATCTTAGACTCCAAACCTCTGGACTGGACTGTGTCCTAGGGGAGAAGGTACACTTGCACAGTATGAGAAGGAAATCCTTAAAGCCAGAGAAGTGAGTGGTCCATCTGGGGTCCCCCAGGGAGTGAGGGATGAGGATAAGGAGAAAAATGACGTCCCAGTTCCCACCCCGAGAGATCTGCTTTTATCACATCCCAACAATCCCCCCACTATGGCAATAGTTCCTGATATTTACATAGTGCTTTGGGTTCCCATCTGATCTTCACAATTCTCTACAAGAGTGTGGGCAGATTTATTTCCTTCAGAGGAACACGGGGGACTCTAAAACACCACAGGAGGCAACTGTCAAAACTGCATCCAGGGCTTCCCTGGTGGCGCAGTGGTTGAGAGTCCACCTGCCGATGCAGGGGACACGGGTCCGTGCCCCGGTCCGGGAGGATCCCACATGCCGCGGAGCGGCTGGGCCCGTGAGCCATGGCCGCTGAGCCTGCGCGTCCGGAGCCTGTGCTCCGCAACGGGAGAGGCCACAACAGTGAGAAGCCCGCGTACCGGAAAAAAAAAAAAAAACTGCATGCAATCCTGTCCCCCAACGCACACAACCAGGCCCCAGGCTACCCGATCAGGAAATGTAGCTGAGCACATGTCCGGCACACAGCTTACTATCAGATGGAGAAATGGAACTCAGGTTTACTGAGCACCCACTGGGCGCCCATCACTAAGGCTAGGACCTTATCTTCCTTAACTCTTTAATCCTTTCATGAAGCTGGTATTATTATTCCCCCTTTGTGAATTAGGCAACTAAGGATCACACAGCTAGTAAGTAGGAGAATGAAATTTGGAACCCAGGCATATCTGACCCAAGACTCATACTCTTCTCACTGAGCCATCCTGACTCCCTGTGTATGCTGGGGTTGTCTATTAACAACCAGACAAGATCAGGGAGCCACACTCAATCTAAGGGAAATGGGCAAGTGTAACTGAAGCTCAGTTACATAAAACAGTGCAAAAATGGCATGAAAAGGGAAGGGTGGGTCTGAGGTTGTGCTAGCAGAGAATGACCTAGGCTGGTCCAGGAAGGCTTCCCCAAAGGGGCAGTTTTCTCCCCAGGCCTGCTTTGACGTCTCTCTCTTCACAGTGCGTCTGGGTGGTGAGCTTCCTCTCTGCCTTCTTCCTGAGCCTGCCGTATGGTGTGGCAGTGGGTGTCGCCTTCTCCACCCTGGTTGTGATCTTCCAGACCCAATTGTAAGTAACAGCCCCTCCCTCCAAGGCACAGCAGTGGGGCCCCTGGGCCAGTCTGCCAAGGGCTCCCATGTGAGGCCTGGCCCAGCCCACTGCATACTGTCACCTTCTGGGCCTGGCACTGGAGGGGCTGCCAGGCCCAAGGAGAGCCTGGCCCAGCCAGGACTTTCGGCACAGGCTGGGCTACCTGACTTCCCACATCCTGAAAACCCAGGGGAAGCCATCACAGTCTTGGAGGGCCGGGGGACCAGAGAAAGTGGGAGTCAAGCAAGTGGGTGAGACTCAGTGTCCTTTCAAGGGTGCTACTAGACCCCAGACCAAATGGAACCCCACCCCAAGGGAACAGCAAGTCAGAGGACAGCTATGTGCTTGCTATAAAAACATTAAGTGGGCTTCCCTGGTGGCGCAGTGGTTGGGAGTCCGCCTGCCGATGCAGGGGAGGCGAGTTCGTGCCCCGGTCCGGGAGGATCCCGCGTGCCGCGGAGCGGCTGGGCCCGTGAGTCATGGCCGCTGAGCCTGCACGTCCGGAGCCTGTGGTCCGCAACCGCAACAGTGAGAGACCCGCGTATGGCAAAAAAAAAAAAGCCTACCCACAGCAACGGAGACCCCATGCAGCCATAAATTAATTAATTAATTTATTTATTTATTTTTAAAAATTAAGTGAAACAGACCAGGGGGTCCAGGTCAGGGCAGGAAGGATGCTGAATATCCAGGAAACCCTGTCTTCTCTTCTTGAGAACTCAGAACCAGGAAGTGGTGACTTTAGGGCCACGTATGCATGTCATCTTGTTTACTCCCCACCCTTTCTCCCCCCTGAGCCCCAGCCTGGGAGCTATGTCAAGGAGCTACCTGTCAACTCTCTAATTATAGCCCAGATACAGGCCATCAGGCATATGTCTCCAGTGCAGAAAGACAAACACAAAAACCCCGGGGTGAGGAAGGGACCCTCTCCTGGCCTGCCTCTGCCCGGCCCCCAGCCCCAGTGTCCCTCCAGGCCCATCCGCTAATAGCATTTCTCTTACGTTTTTCTTTTCCTTCTTCATCCAGTCGAAATGGCTATACTTTGGCCCAAGTCATGGACACTGACATTTATGTGAATCCCAAGACCTATAATAGGGTGGGTAATCCAAGCTTGTGACCTCCCTCTTTTGCCCTACCCCCACCCCAAATAAAAGGGTTTAAAAAAAAAAAAAAGCCAATAAAGATATTGCTGCTAACTGAGCTAAGTCTTCCTGTCACAGGCCCAGGAAATCCAAGGGATAAAGATCATCACTTACTGCTCCCCTCTCTACTTTGCCAACTCGGAAATCTTCAGGCAAAAGGTCACTGCCAAGGTAAGGCTCAGTCCTCTGGTGACCAGAGGGGCTGGACAGAGCGTGCCTGGAAGATGCAAGAAAAGGAGCTGGGAGCTGAGAGCAGGCCACTTCCAAAGAGGGTGGAGGTTAAGACTGCTCTCTGCTCTCTCCCTACAGACAGGTGTGGACCCCCAGAAAGTATTGCTGGCCAAGCAAAAATACCTCAAGAGGCAGGAGAAGGGGAGAACGGTGCCCAAGCAACAGAGGAAGTCCCTATTTATGAAAACCAAGGTGAACTGAGGCTAGAAACCTGGGCCAAGCATGGGCTAGAGCCCATGCCCTCTCCCCTGCCGTCTCTGATCTTGTTACCTGGTACCCCACCTCCCAGTACCCTTGAAGTCAAAGACATCAAGTCCCTGTGGCCACTGGGGCACTGGTGGGTATTGCCTGATGGATATCCTCTCCTTCGATGAGGAGCTGTCAGCTCTTAGGGTAACCACTGAACTCCCACAGCCCGTCCTCATTTTCTGGCTAAGATAGGATATGCCCATGGACTTATGAGCAACCCCATACGGGGAGCAGCAGGGAATTTCCTGGGGTACCCAGACGACCTAGATCTAGCAAGGTGGATGTAGGTGTGGGAGTTCTGCGGAGAAGGCAGACGTGGATAAATGCAAAAAAGGAGCTCAATTGTTTCCAAAGGGCCTTTCTCTCAGAGCAGAGTGGGCTGAGGCTTCAGTGCCTCTCTTGGAAGGGTTGTGGGAGACCAAGGAAGGGGCTTTGGGAGGTGCCGGTCCTATGGGCTTTGGGGGGCTTATATTCACCACCACCAGGTTCAGTTACCTCCACCTGCACGCTCCTTGCCCCAGCTTCAGCCACAGCAAAGTCTGACTGAGTGTGATGATCCCTGACTCTGCCCTCCTACTCCCACCCTCCAGACTGTCTCCCTGCAGGAGCTTCAGCAGGCCTTTGAGAATGGCTCCCCAACTGACCCCAACAACAACCAGACGCCTGCTAATGGCGCCAGCGTGTCCTACATCACCTTCAGAGCAGGACTTTGAGAATGGCTCCCCAACTGACCCCAACAACAACCAGACGCCTGCTAATGGCGCCAGCGTGTCCTACATCACCTTCAGCCCTGACAGCTCCACAGCTGCCAGTTGTGAGCCCCCGGCCTCTGCTGAGCCCAGTGACATCCTGGCCAGCGTCCCACCCTTTGTCACCTTCCACACCCTCATCTTCGACATGAGTGGGGTCAGCTTTGTGGACTTGATGGGCATCAAAGCCCTGGCCAAGGTGAGGCCCTCGGGTGGAGGGAGTGCCAGCCCACCCCCCAACCCTAATTGTCACCCCTGCCCTCCTACACTCCCTTTCCTTGGAGCCCTCATTTGAACCAACTGAGCGAGACAGCTCACCAAGGAACCTAACAGCTCCTAAGATCCCTTTTCCCCAGATGCTACCAGGACAGAATGCTCTCTGCAGAGCAGGCCCAGACAGCACAAGGCAATGCCTGCCTGGGGAGGGATACCAAAGCCAGGCCCCGCTGGTCCACCCTGTCCTAGCACGCCTCTGTAACAGAGTCTACCCCAAGTTCCCTCTCAGGCTGCCAGGAACCCACCCCAGGGTCCTCTGAGTAGAGTTCAGCTTGGCCCTGGTTCGTGGTCTGCCATTCCTTCCCACACTCACCCAGACACTCTAGCGGCAGCCGGTTCTGGCCAACAGAGGAAAGAAGACATAATATCAGTGCCCCACATCCTTAGACCAAACACACAGCTCACAGGATACCTTGAATAAATGTATCCATCTGATAACTTTTCAGCGGCCACTTCCGATGACAAGGAGTCAGTAAACCTCAGAGGCTGGCCCAGAGAGAAGCAGCCCAGAGAAACCGAGGGGTACAGAGAGCACATAGGCTGATGGCATCATCAGCCAGGTGCACAGGAACACGGGGGGGAACACGGGGAAACACGGGGCCTGGCGCCTGCCCGGGGAAACACGGGGCCTGGCGCCTGCCTACCACACAGAGGGAAACTGTGAGAGCAGCGGCCTTGCCCCAGCCCTGGTCTCAACCTGCTTCCCTAGCCTGGACCTGGCATGAAGCTGGGCAAAGCAGTAGCCTCTCTGGGCCTCGGTCCTCCCCTGCAGTTTCTGCCTGAAGCCACAAAGTCAGGAAAGAGGTAGAGTCCAGGACTCCAAGCTACTGAAAGAAAAGGTCTGGCCCCATAAGAAGGGGTCATGGGGACTTTAAGTGGCTGCCTCACTGGCAAAGCCCCATGTCCACCCCACTTTCCAGAGGAGCAGTCAGCCAGCACTCCAGGGAGAAATGGTGTGCTTTGCTGCTATTTTTATCTTTGGCTGCCAGGGCTCTCGGGGCTGCTTATTTGTTTGGCTTCCCCTCTGATGTGCATTTTGTGAATCAGTTTTCAGGCGCACTCAGAACATTCCTTTCCTTTTGTCTCCCTACCCAACACCCTCCCGACTCCTCTAGCTGAGCTCCACCTACGGGAGGATCGGTGTGAAGGTCTTCTTGGTGAACATTCATGGTAAGAGAAGGAGGACGTTTTGGCGACTGGAAGGCTGGCAAGGGGCTGAGGTGGGAATAGGTGGGTGGGATGCTGAATAGTGAGTGGGGTAGAAATGAGAACAGCCAAATGTTCCCCTAAACTACTGGCTGCTCATAAGCGTTTCGGGCACAAGTTAGAAGAGACTACAGCCAGGTTAGATAACATCCTAGGGGTCTCAATTAGAGAGTGGGGGGGGATCATGGAGTTAAGAAATGACAAGTAGGATTCTAATTTGCCCACCACTAATTTGCCATGTATATTTGGCCAAGTCACTTCATCTGTCTAGGGATCGATTGCCACCTACATAAAATGAGCCCGACTAGATAAATTTGGGAATCTTCTCCAAATTCAAAAGTCTGTGAATAAGCACAAAGCATAGATATACCATAACTATCCAGGGAAGACACAGATAACACAGTTTTATACGCACACAGTCTCCAGGGCCCACATACCCAGCCCCAAACCATGTCCACATCGCAGTGGACTTTCACCTCATCAGCATGTGTGCAGAGTGCAGGGACACGGACATACAGCAAGAGCACACAGACACACAGGAGAAAGGGAAGGGGCACGTACTTGCACACCCCGTTTCCCACGGAGGGTCAGCAATTTCCAGCAGGCCTAGCCAGCTTCGGCGCTGGCCTGAGCACAGCCCAGGCTCTGTGCAGGCTCCGTTCAGGAAGAGAGTCTGCACTGGCAAGTGACCTGCTCTGTGTGTGCTCCAGAGTTAGAATCAGAGGCTCCTGCCGACTCTCACTAGACACTCCTCAGGAAATCATGTCCAGGATTGGGTAGGAATAAGGGCTCTTCCACACACTGGACATTGTAGGAAAGGTCTGGCTAAACAATAGGAAGGACGAACCCTCAAGGGACAGAATGGGCAAACGTTTTAGCCTTTCCCACTCGAATCACCACGAAGTACCAACTCCCTGAATCAAACTGCTTCCTTCTGCCCTGGGGCGAAGGTTCAGCATCCTCAAGCTCATGTTGCCCTCTGCTGTCCAGAAATGATACTGCAAGGCCAATGAGAAGGCTCTAGGATATAGCAAGAGCACAACTCTCAGGCCTCTCTCTCCATCTCCCTCAGGCCCTCTCACCATTTTCCCCCAACCCCAGGTCCTGTCCACGGTGGTGTTAACCTTTTGAAGGTGATCTTTGTCTCCTTCCAGCCCAGGTGTACAATGACATTAACCACGGTGGCGTCTTCGAAGATGGGTGTCTAGAGCGCAGCCACGTCTTTCCCAGCATACACGACG